ATTAAAACATTAAAGATTTAAAGGAAAAAAAAGAGCAAAACCCCTGGTAGTTCTCTAGTAAAGGATGAAGACAACACACGAGATATTAAGGACTAAACACTCAGGTTCCTGTATGTGTGCTGGTTGTCAGATCTGTAAAGACACAAAAGCTTCCTACCTTCACGTTGACTTACTCATCAGCAGTGACGATGTAGCGGACACCAGACCTTTTGCAATTAGGAGCCTTGCTCCTAACTGCACCCTCCTCAACTCTGACAAAAGTCCCATGAGTTGTGAAATAAATCACTGGCTTGTGACCTGTGTCCCAGAAGTTTGGGTAGGTGATGTCATGGCGTGCCTCAATGCGCCTGGGTAGTGAGAGGCGCAGCCATTGTGTGCAGCTCTGTGCACTTGCAGCCATCGGGTGATGAATGGCAATTTTGGACTCTGAACCATAGAGTTTGTTTTATTGTTCTGTCAGGTCCAGTTATGTAACACATGGCAGATGTCTTTGTTAAAGGACAAGTGCTAACCTTCTCCAGATATTGGCCAAAGTACATAAGCCATCCCTTTCTTATTGGCGACAGCACTTGGGGTTCCAAATTCCCCCGTACTGAAGTTCTGAGAACACTTTGGCATGAGTTTATTCCCCGGCAGGAATTCTGCTAGTGGAGAATGTAAAACCAGAAAGTAGCATTTGGTCACATGATTCTCTATAATGCAGGTTTCTTCATTTTTCTCTGCTGCCACAGAACCACAGGGCAAATCGAAGGATGGCTGGTTCAGGGACCATCAGTAGCTTTTAGTAAAGCATTCAGGGAGCAGTAGATAGATGCAGAGGTTGGGGAAGAGGGGCCTAAAAGAGGTCAGTGGGAGGGGGTGCATGCACGCTAGGAGGAAGGGTGAGATCCTCCATGCCGGGTGACCAGCTAGCACCCCCAGAGTAGGTGTGACCTTGACCCTCTACCCGTCTTTCCAGCCAACTTCCGTTGTTAGTGCCTCATTACTTCTGAATCCTGGCAGCATAATGTGTGTTTTTGAGTGGATCTTTGGAGAAAGCATCCAGCCTGTGGAAGCAAGCCAGAAGCAGGCCAGTTGCCTATTTGTGCAGATCCCTCCAGCTTCTGGAAGGTGCAGGCTTACCAACCAACAGAAGAGCATTCTTTTAAAAAAGAAGACGGGCTTCCAAAAACATCATCAGAGTTTGTTGCCCAAACATCTCAGGTTCTTTCTGAAGACTGGGAACGAGGAGGTTTGGAAACACCCCTGTCTTCATTTTCAGTACTAGAAACCCCAAACTTCCGCCTCAGGAAAGGGGGGGGGAGCTGGTGCCTCCTGTTTTTTTTTTTTTTTTCCCCAAGGGCTGGCGGTTTCTTTGTGTTAGTGCTTCCACCTGTTGTCCGTAAGTGGTATTACACTCTAGCTCCCCTTCACTCTTGCTCCGTTCTTTCCTGAGTCTGGGATTGAACCCAGGGCCTCTCTTACACCAGGTATACCCTCTATGCTTAGCTACATAGCTGGTCCAGTGGCTCCAGTTTAAAAGCCATTTATCTGGGATGCATTTTTTTTTTTTTAAATTGTAGTCACAAAGAGTGACTCCAATGTGAGAATGTGAAGGCAACAGCCACCTAACCTGGGGACTCTGCCTGCCACATCTTTGCTTTGTTTCCGGGGGGGGGGGGGGGGGGGGTTCTGGATGAGTTGCCAAGATATCAGATTACAGCCTTTGGGTGGTGGCTTCCAGAACCAGCCTTTCTACTTTGCTCAGTGCTTGCCACTTTTCCCCTCTTCTTTCATCTTTTTTTTTTTTTTTTCTCCTCCCAGTGACAGGGTTTCTCAATGTAGTCCTGGCTGGCCTGGAACTCTCTGTAGACCAGGTTGGCCTCAAACTCACATATCTGCCTGCTTTTGCCTCCTGAGTGCTGGGATTAAAGGCGCGCAACACCACGGCCCGCCTGCCACTTTTTGAAAGTTATTGTTTTGTTGTTAGTCTTCTTTTCTATTATATTTTTATCATTGAAAACAATTTTTAAGTTGAAATGTTTTACCTCCTCCAAGTCCTTCCAGCCTCCCCTCCCCTCCTGACCCATCCAACTTAAAGTCTTTCCAACTTAAAGTCTTTCTAAAATAAATAACCACTCCTCCAAACCAAGGAAGCAAAACATCAGAAAAAGAAGAAAACAAAAAACCCAAAGCAAAACCATCCAAATAAAGGCATAAAAAGCCAAAACAACAAAAAGAAACAAACAAACTTGAGTCCATTTTATGTTGGTTGACTGCCCTTGAACATGAGGCTGCTCTGGAGTAGTTGATATACAGTCACTCCATTGGAGAAAACTAATTTTCCCTCTTCTAGCAGGTATAGTTCAGTTGTTAGCCTTTACCCTAGTGGCTAAGTTTTCTTTCATTCATTCATTCATTCATTCATTCATTCATTCATTCATTTTAGACAAAATAAAGTATAAGATACAACAGAATCTATCACATTGAAATTGTGATAGATACACCAAGGGAAGGAAAGAGCCCAAGAGAAGGCATAAGAGTCAGAGACCCACTTGATCGAACATTCTAGAATTCTATGAAAAACACTAAACGGGAAGCCGTAAAGGACGTGCAGAGCACCTGTTGCAGAACGTGCAGGCCCTGTGCATGCTGCCTCAGGCCCTGTGAGCACTTACGAGCATTGATCCTGTTGATTTAGAGGACCTTGTCTCCTTGGTTTCCTCCATCCCCTCTGGCTCTCTCACTCTTTCGGAGGCCTCTTTTATAGCTATGTTTTTCTGTCTTGGTTGCTAGTAGAACTTGCCTGGCTAGTTGGGAAAAGAAGCAAGGATGTCTGGGGTGAGGCTGTGACACAGGACCCAGATAAATAACCCTGAGGTACTTTTTGCCAGGGCAGAAAATAAAGGCTTACAGACCTGTTCACAGACAGTTGATGTTAACAAGTATTTAAAGGGCATTTAGCACTAGGAGACACAGTTCACTACTGTGTGTGTGTGTGTGTGTGTGTGTGTGTGTGTAGGTCAGAGGCATCAGTTCTACCATGTGCGTCCTTCGGATTGAACTCAGGTCATCAGCCTAGGCAGAAAGTGACTTTATTCACTGAGTTATCTCGATGGCCCTGATAGGCTTCTGGTTGTGGACTGGGAAGGAAAGGGAAAGGGAGGAAGAGGAGGAGGGAGGGATGTTCTGGAACATCTTTTTGAGACATTCAGCCTGTGTCCAATTAGTCTGGTGGTGCCCTGGGCTGGGGAAGCAGCAGCTAGAATCAAAGTTCTGAAAACACTGGAGTTTCGATGCCCATCCCAGCCGCACCACACCTGGAATGTGCTTCATGCCCAGCTGTTCTCCAGCTGGGTATGAACTGAATGGACAAACAGACCTTGAAGGGCAGAGACCAGACGTATAGGTGAAGACCCAGAGGGGTTGAGAGGCTCAGGGCGGCTGGGAGGAGGAGGCTGTGTGAGTTGGCAGAGGCTGGTCTTTGTTCATCTAGTTGATGATAAAGTTTTTTTTTTCTTTTTCTTTTTACTTTGTGCATACAAGTGCTTTGCTTGCATGTATGGCTGTCTGCCTGTGCACTGTTTGGTGCTGGCAGAGACCAGAAATGGGGTATCAGATTCCCTAGAACTGGAGTTATGGTTGTGAGCAACCACATGGATACTGGAACCAGGATGGTCTTCTGAAAGAGAAGCCAGTGCTGTTAACCACTGAGCTACCTCTCCAGGTGTGGTGGTGTTAGTTTCATGGTGGGTTTCCAAAGTTGTCTGCAGCATTGAAGAGCTTGGGAGTCTGTGTATCTAACAAAAGCCCTCAGTGTTGATGTGGCAATATCAAGAGAAGGAGCCTCACTAAGGAAGCAATAGTGGCTATGTATGCGGGGGTGTGTGGAGGGGTGGGGGGTGAGGAGTGTTGGGGCGGGGGCTTGGCTCAGGGGATGCCTGATGAAGGTAGAGTAGCTGAGACAGCAAAACACGGGACTTGGCCTTCTGGGAAGTAATGGGGGAATTTGTTAAACCAGCAGCATTACACCTGCCTAGAAAGTACTGGTGGCTGTTTCTATAGATCAGCGCTCAATGATGTAGGCAAAACTGAGCTGTTATATTAAGTGAAAACCAATGCTAGGTGAAGTGGCTTGTCCTTGTGGATGCAGGCAGGAGGATTGCCACAGGTCAAGGCCAGCTTACTGACTTGTATAGTAAGTTCCAGACCAGCCATAGGTACCTAGCAAGAATTTGTCTCAACAATAAAACAAAAACAGGGAGAACAGAGTATACCAGTGCAGTTATAGAAGGAGCAGGATGCTTTAAAATTAAAAATAAATAAACAAAAAAAAGTGTGTGTGTGTGTGTGTGTGTGTGTGTGTGTGTGTGTGTGTGTGTGAGGCTGGGGATGTGGCTCAGTTGGTAAAGCGCTTGCCTAGTGTGCATGGAGCTTGCGGTTTGTCTGGAGCACCACAGAAGATGGGCATGGTGGTGATGAATACTTGAGGTGGGGGCAGGAGAATCAGAAATTCAAGGTCACCCTCAGCTGCATAGGAAGTTTCCACCTAAGCTGTGTGAAACAGGAGTCTTAAAAAACAAAATAAAAATAAGGAAACAGGAGCAGGGGGGAGTGGGTGTCTTTGGGATTCAGGTTCACAAGTGGCTTTACTTTGAGTTCATCAGTGATTTTTTACATGACCTCCTAGGAATAGGTATTAATTTTTTGTATTTTTTTTTTTAATAAAGAAAAGATAGAGCTGGCAGGATGGTTCAGCAGGTAATGAAGCTTGCCTGCAAGCCCATGTCCTGAGTTTACCTTTGCAAACCACATGGTAGAGAGAGAACTGACTTCAGCAAATTGTTCTCTGATTTTCACATGTGCTGGGGCACATATGCACAGAAATTAATGTGTGTGTGTGTGTGTGTGTGTGTGTGTGAGAGAGAGAGAGAGAGAGAGAGAGAGAGAGAGAGAGAGAGGGAGAGAGATAGGGAGAGAGAGTTCACTCATACTCACTGCCACTTTTGTTTCCTCCGCAGAGGAAGCAGAGTATCCAGCATGCTGTCCCGACGCCTTGGTAAGCGCTCCCTCTTGGGAGCCCGGGTATTGGGACCGAGTGCCTCTGAGGTGCCACTGGGGGCCAGCCTGCCTTTGGAGCCACAGATAGAAGTGCCTGAAGGAGCCACGCCCCAGCCTTCACACACCTCTAAGGACCCTGTGTGCCAGGAGCAGCCCAAGGAACTCCTCAAGGCTCTGGGTACCTCAGGCCACCCAAAGGTGGCCTTTCAGCCTGGACAGAAGGTAGGTTGATCCTAACACGGACGGGCACCCTGTCTCTTGAGTGTTGGGATTGGGAGACTAGGGCTTCCTAAGTGGTAGCCTGGAAGTCCTATAAACTGGGGCTCTGGGCAGAAGATGTACTGTCCTTTCAGACCAGGGCATATTCTTGACTGTCATGTGGAGGAGAGAGTGGCCAGGCATTGTGGGATGCTCAGAACCTCAGATCACAGTGTGGCCTCAGCTCCCTAGCTTTTTATCTGCCTTACTTCACAACCTTAGGCAACAAGGAGAAGGACCTTAGACTTTAGGCGCTAGAGAAGAGATTGCAGAAACTGCAGATGGCTGTGTAGTCCAAATCTGATAAGGACTGTCCTTGTTTTCCTTGCATCCCCTTGCCATGGCTGGGCCCATGGTTACCTAGGCCCGATTCATTACAAGGTCCAGCTCCGTGGGCTCTGTGCACTGAACTCAGCTAGTCAGCCTTGGCAGCAAGGTCCAATGGCAGAAGGCTCCTGCCATTGCCTTTTCCAGCATCCATCTACGAAGACTTGGCCTTTGTCTTCCCATGAGGCTCAGTGCCCCCTAGACCTTTGTCCTCCTGAGATAAGGTAGCCTTCCAGAGTCCAGGTACCCTGATGAGAGAGCAGTCTATCCCCTCCCTCCAGTACAATGCTGAGGAGAATGGGACTTAGGACTCTCCAGAAGGAAAACATTGAGTAAGAGGTGTTTACCAGTTCAGAGGCAAGGACAGGGGCATGAGTAACCGAAGGATGAGTGTAGGTTTGAGGGTCAGAGAAACCCCAGGTGCTGGCCTACTCAATATCTTGTAGGGTGCACAGTGTGTAGGGAAGCTGTAGTAGAAGATTTAGTCCCGTGTGGCTAGCCCGTGTGTGTGCTTGGGTGGGCAGCAGGTGCCTGGGAATACCTGCTTTCTTCTGGTCTGTTTAGGCTGTTGTAATGGAAAACCCAAGGTGGGGAAATGTACAGACAGTATTTCATCCAGCTCAAACTTCTGGAAACTGGGAATCCTGAGAGGACAAGAAGGACAGGAGAGTGAGGGTCTGCACCCACTTTTATAATAGTTCACACTCTCCCCGCCTACCCCACTCTCTGGATAATTCTCTCCTGTTATGACATGCCATTTGATAGAGCAACAGTTCTCAGGACATATTCACTTACACTAACTAGACCCCACTTCCTGACACTGGTCTTGGGGATTAAGTGTCTAACATGTAACCAGATCTTAGCATGCACAAATTAAAGATGAGTGTATCGAAGCACAGACTACAGCAGATAGATAGCCTGATACCCGGGACGGAGATCTCTGGGGGCTTTGGTGTCGGAACGCCTGAGTGTTGACCCTTGGCCACCATCCCCCTGTAGGTCTGTGTGTGGTATGGGGGTCAGGAGTGCAAGGGCCTGGTGGAGCAGCACAGCTGGGCCGAGGACAAGGTGACAGTCCGGCTGCTGGACCAGAAGTTACAGATTTGCTGTAAAATGGAAGAGGTGTGGCTAGCAGAGCTGCAGGGGACCGCATCCCAAGTGACAGCCTACAGACCCGTGTCTAGGAACATCGATGTCCCGAAGAGGTTTGTAGGAGTGGGCTGGGACATGGTGGGAGGAGTGTGGGGGTGTTGGGCACCTAACTGCTGGGATCGTGAAGCTAGATACAGAAGAGGCATCATTTGAAGAACATCTAGGTAACATCCTTTCTTCTCTAAAACTCTCTTGGTGGTTATATCTATTTGGTTGGTGAAGGCTTAAACTCAGCTCATCGTTTTTCTTGAATGCCAGCACGGGTTCCATACAGGGTGGAGAGAATTTCAGACTTGTGGGCCAAGCATACTCTGTCATTGCTACTTGGTGCTGCAGCCATAGACATAAAAGCCTGTAGTCATGCCGTGCATTAATGAAAACTAATCAGGGTCCCCAAACTTTACCGTGATTCAGTATCGTTTTGTGTGTCATCTGTCAAGAAGTAAAACGCTTTTGATTCTGAAATAGTATTTTAAAAAGTAAAGCCATCCATCCTTTCTTGGCTCAAAACTGGACAGGTGGGCAGCAGCCTGTGCCTAGGCAAGGTGGTCTGATTCTTCACTTGGGTGCTAAGAGCCATTGAGTAAAGAATGGATATTCTGCTTTGGGGCTTAATGATAAGATGCCAGCCTGGGATCCTGGTGTACATCTTATGGTCTATCTATACTGTTCTTTTAAGATTTAAAAAGAAAATCTGGGGCGGAGAGATGTCTGTGCAAGCCCAACAAGCTGAGTTCAATGCCTGGAACCCACGTAGAGGCGGAAAGAGGAGCCTGCTCCATAGAGCTGACCTCTGATCTCCACATTCACACAGCATGCACAAACATAATAATAAACAAATGAAAGTTAAAAACAAACTTGGCCAACTAAGATTATTTTGCATGCAAGATATGCAAACAGCTAAACTCTATTCCACCCTCTTCTGTGGGTATGAGGGCTCTAGATGGACCAGGTGGGCTTAACAATTTTTAGATTACATTCATTTATTATGTATGGGTTATGTGTGCATGCTGTGCTGCCCCTGTGGACGCCAGAGGACGACTTTCAGGAGTCAATTCTCTTCTACTCCGTGGGCTCTGTGCACTGAACTCAGCTAGTCAGCCTTGGCAGCAAGCTCTTTTACCCACTGCACCATCTTGCTGGCCCAGCAGAACAGTGTTTTAAGACCAAAGGAGCAGCATCTCTGATCGTGTATCCAGTGGAAGGCCTGCAAAGAACTTATTTTTCTCTTTTGAGAAAGTGAAAACACAACAATCATGTAGTGTTTAATGTGTTGATGGCTTTGGTCCCTCTGTCTCAAACCCAGTTGCATGGTTTGGTAGACCTCGTGTATAAGTAATGGGTGAATACAATCCTTTAAAATAGGCAAGCCACTGGCAGTTTATTATATTCTAGTTTCCCTCAAATACTTTAGATTTCAGATAGTGTTTATTTTACTTCCAAATCGTGTAACTGTATGGATTTAAAGGCGAGGAAAAAAGAGCACACGTAAAATTCTAGGCAGCCTGTTTAAAGCATGGAGCTTAGCAGTGGGAGATGGTGTCATCTGGTTATTTATTCTACCCTGGTTTGTTTGCTTACTGGCTTATGTAATGGGTTCTGTTTACATTCAGAAGCTAACAGAATGCTGTGTTTATTTTGGCAGAGGGGAAAGAAAAATCCATTAGTGTAATTGTTTCCTCTTAAATTTGAATCTAAGACAGAGGAAGGAGGTAATTTTAGTGTTTAGATTAGTGGGCATCATTTATTCCCATGCTTCATCTTAACATTTTGAATCTTCTCTCCGCACTCAAATAAAATGTTCCATTTTAAGTTGTAGGGTTAGAAGGAGAGTTTGGGGAGAGCAGTGCTGTCTCAGGTGTCACCCCCCCCCCCAGTTTAAGCAGGGGCCCCACCTGCTCATCCTGGGCTGATTGAAACAACACCCAGAACAATCACTTTTCACGGGTTGTTGCTTTACTTTCCATTGAGCTGGTTGCTTGGGGGTGGGGGGTGGGATTGGCTCTGAGAGGACAGCACAGCAGGGTAAGGTGATCCCATGAAAGTAAGCGGATGTGGTAGCATAATCTGTGGGCTTTGTGGACCAGCCAGGCCCCAGAAAGTAAGCACACTCCCTACTCATTTGAATCCAGGAAGTCGGATGCAGTGGAGATGGATGAGATGATGGCTGCAATGGTGCTGACTTCTCTGTCCTGCAGTCCTGTCGTGCAGAGTCCTCCTGGGGCTGAGCCCATCTTCTCTGGTGAGCAAGTGGGGTTGGGCTGACTCCTGGGATGGCAGAGGCTGGCAACTGACACTCTCTCTTTTCAGCTTCGAATTGCCAGTGTCAGCTTGGCTGTAGGGTTCCGGAGGCTCTCAGGGCTATCAACCAGAAGCTCAGTTTCCCCATCTGAGCAGAAATACCTTGGCGCTTTGTGACAGTGATTGAACTCGGCACTCAGCCAAGATGACCACTCAAGCAAGTTCCAAGTTCTGTAGGAGCCTGGACAGGGCCTACAGGAACAATTATTTAGTTCACAAAAGCAGATCTATGCTTGCCTGTTCACTAGTGGCTTCCCATTATCAATACTCAACTTCTAAAGTGCCTAAGTCAGCCTCATAAATTAGTGTGGGCTTGCAGGCCAAATACTTGAGCTGAAGTCTCAAATCTGGTTGCTTTATACAAACCAATAGTATTGCCCATTGAAAAGACTGGGTGAAGATGCTTGTTGCTGAGCCTGGCAGCCTGTGTTTGGTTCCTGGGGCCCACATGGTGGAAGAAAACAAGTAACTCTCTTAGGTTGTCCTCTGACCTCTACTTATACTCTCTCTCTCTGACACTGTAATAAAAAAAAAGTCCCTAATAGTGTGACTTCAGATTTATAGAAGCCAACAGAACTCTTCTGGTTATAATCCCCAGATGCTTTACCAGTGCTTGGAAGGGCAGCATCCGAGAAGGATTGCAGACTAATAAGTCTTTTGATAAGACTGGTAGTGGCTTTGGTTATTTTAGTAGCAATTGCTTATCTTCCAGTCCTAAAAGCTATTTAACAGTTTGTAGGAGAATATGGAGCTAGTTCTAACTCATACTGAGAGGAAAGTGGTTTTCACAAGTGTCCCTCACCTTTGATTGAAAGCAAATTTAATTACTCCACCAGAGACTGTCACTGCACTTGGGGACATCTAGTGGTGAATTCCATCAGTGCAGCCTGCTTTAATGTGCATGAAGACTCAAATCCTCAAGAAGTTTAAAAGAAGTTGAGTCAGCAGATTCAGGAAAGGAGCCGAAGTGGAGAAAACATGGCTGGCGTTCCCTCTTGAGCCCATGCTCATGGGTCCATGATCAGTTGCTTTGGATGCTTCTTGAGTTATGCCCAAGTTTTGAACTCTATGTGTATCTGTGGTACTCTCTGTTTCCAGGAAGAGCAAGTGATTCGAGTTTTAAAACTAGAAGGGGTATATGGGGAGGAGAGGTTCTTTATCCAGCATCCTTTCTGAGCAAGAGTCTCCTAGAAGTAAAGAGAGCCTCCTTTGGAAACGTGGGACCTTGGAGTTGGCCCAGCCTTCAGGTCTGCTATGATTACTTAGGGTGTGGCAGTGTCTCTTCAAGCCTAGAGTCAGGAGAATGTGTGTCCAGAGAGGGAGCTGGGGCTGCTGGGAGCATAAGTTTTTTTCTATCTCTCTTGCTGTTCCCCCATATTAGACTTTCAGATCATCTTATGTGATCAGTTGGCTTGGATTTGAAGGCAAGGGAAGACAAAGTCCAGCTTGAGCCTAAAGCAGCCTATAGACCCATCAGTCAAAAAATCAAAAAAAAAAAAAAAAAAAAAAAAAATCTAGGCTTGGGGTTCCACTCAGTGCTAGAGTGCTTGCCTAGTATGAACAAGGGCCTAGCAATCAAAGTAAAACTAAGCATAAAAATCCCACTTGTTATTTGTATTCTTCCTTCTTAGATGTCTGAATTTGAGGGGGCAGGTGGCCACTGAAAGTTCCAGGACATTTCTGTGCACTCACAGACGTTCCTGCATTTGTCCAAGTTAAAATGGTTGAAAAGCATTTTTAGGAAACTCATCAAGAAGGTAGCTAGCCCCATGTTGCTACCGCTATGTGGATGTATGTCCTCAGCCAGGCTGGAACTAGGAAAGGCTCTTTTTTTTAGCATGTACAGCATGAACTAGCTTTTAATGGCATTCTTTTTTATTAATCTTCGATGAAAGATAGTTGAGAGTAGGTGTGGTGGTCAGCGATGACCCATGTGGCCGTGGCAGAAAATGTCTACCAGGCAGAGCAATTATAGCTCCAAATTGCTATAGCGTTTGCGCCAGCCCTCATCTTGTAGCTCAGGAAGAAATTTCTCTAATAATTACATTTTAATAATATTTTCATGTTTGTCATCAGTTACTCACTTCCCCCCCCTTTGTTGCTGGGGACGAGGCCTCCTGAGTGCTCTTTCACCTCTCTCTGGCCAGTTTCCCGTGCAGCTTGTGGTGACCCATGGAAGGAGAGCGGTGACGTGTCAGACAGCGGCAGTAGCACTACCAGCGGGCACTGGAGCGGGAGCAGTGGCGTCTCCACCCCTTCGCCTCCCCACCCTCAGGCCAGCCCCCAAGTACCTGGGAGACGCCTTCGGGTCTCCCCAAACTGATCATGGCTTTGAGACTGATTCCGACCCATTCCTGTTGGATGAACCAGCCCCCACGCAAGAGAAAGGTAGGTGACTGACCACTAGTGAGCATGTGGGGACAGCCATCCTCAGAGGGCAGGGACTCCACAGGTCCCAGGTGTTTCTGGTTTTCCTTTGCTGCTGCACCTGTTGTGAAATCCTAGGCTGAGGCTGGTTCCTTTTCATTTTGTGTGTGTGTGTGTGTGTGTGTGTGTGTGTGTGTGTGTGTGTGTGTGTGTGTTTCTGTGTGTGCATGCATGTGGAGGTCAAATGTCAACCTCAGGTATTTATCATGAGTTATCTGCCTCTCCCACCTCACCCCATCTTAGCTTTTGAGATAGGCTCTTTCAGTGGTCTGGAGCTCACCAAATAGGCTAGGCTGGGCAGCCAGTGAGTCCAGGATCTGCTGTCTCTGCCATTCCGTGGTATCACAAGTGTGTGCCACTATTATTTATTCATTTATTTATGTATTTTTTTAATGTGGCCACCAAGGCATCCCTCTGGTTCTCCTGGGCATGTTTCTGTGCTTTCTGGGAGTCTCTTCCTAGAGGTTTTTTCTTTTGGGTCTGGCTGAGGATGGCAGCCAGCTGAAGTCCTCATCAAGTGACAAGGGAGGCTGGGAGAGTGTTCCCACACACTGGTTACTAAGACTTCTTTTTCCCCTAGAACTCTGTGAAGGTGATGTACAAGTGCCTGTGGCCCAGCTGTGGCAAAGTTCTTCGTTCAATCGTGGGCATCAAGCGACATGTCAAAGCCCTCCACCTGGGGTAGGTCCAGTGCTTGGTGACTCTTGCCTGAGGCGCCTCCAGCCTGCTAACTCCACAGGACTTGCAGTCCAGAGGCTTCTGGTGAAATGACTTCCTGTAGGCACTGTCCAGTTCTCCTCTCTGACCACTGAATGTGCGATGCCTTCACGGGGCAAGGAGATTCTTTATATCGTGGTCAACATTGATGCTCTTGTGGGATCTTCCCACCTGGTGTAGGAAGCAAGCTGTTTCAGTTCTGGGTAGAAAGAGAACGGTTTGGTTTAATCACTGGTGAGATGCTATGGCTTAGACATAGTGGCCGAGTTTTACTTGTGCTCCTGTGTGGGGGGAGTTAGGTCTATATCAGTGCTCTGGCACTCATGGCAGGGCCTCATCTCTGTACAGAACCCTCAGGGCAGCACCTCTGGTGTGAACTGCCTCAGCCCTCGAGAGCGTGCTATAGTCGGGGCAGCTCCCAAGAGGGCTTGGTCTGTGCCAGGACTAGGTTGTACTCATACACGTTTGCCATTGTGTGAGCCCTTGTGCTGAAGAGGAACTTCCATGGGTGGGCATGTTCTGATCCCTTTTGATGGCACTCCTGGATGTTCTCTTGGGTACTTTTCCCAACATCTTTCTCCTTGAACACCCCCACCCCTCCACCCCCAGGCTTCAAACCAAGGTAGCATCATTAAGGAATGATGGCTAAATGTCTGTTCCACACAGGGACACCGTGGACCCTGATCAGTTCAAGAGAGAGGAAGATTTTTACTATACAGAGATGCAGATGAAGGAAGAATCTGCTCTGGCTGTGGCTGCCCCCCCTGCCCCTGGGACACCCAACAGCGAGCCAGCCCCCCACCTCCCGTGTGACCAGCCCGTCCCTTGCCGCTCTTTCATTGCCTCCGCCCAAAGTCCAGTCCTCTGGCCCAGAACACCCTGGCCTGGAGTCTCCCCTGCCTTCAGTTGCACTCAGCAAGTCAGCTCCTGGCTCCTTCTGGCACATTCAGGCTGACCACGCATACCAGGTTTGGAACAGGCATATGTGGGAGCTTAGCCTGGGATCACTGTGGTCACTGGCTATTAGACAATAGGCCTCTGAGCACCTTGACTGAGTTGCTAATCTTATTTCCACAGAGAAGGAAAAGGAAAGGCTTGGATGTAGGTCAGTTGGTAGAGTTGCTTACTGAGCGTGTGCAGAACCTTGGGTTGATCCTGAGCATAAACCCAGGGCAGGGACACATAACCTGTGATCCCAGTCAGGGTGGAGACAGGAGGAATAGGAGTTCAGGGTCCTACACGGGGAGTTAGAGCCAGCTTGGGCTATATGTAAACCCCATCTCAAAAACAGCAGCAACAAATTTTGTGACACTCAGGGCTGATAAGTACTCTAGCCATGTGTCAGGGTGTGAACTGAGAGCTTTCACTTTCAAGACTGGCTAGAAGAATCAACAGAATCATGTAGGACTTCCCAGGCAACTCCTTAGCTCTGAGGAGTGTGTTACACTGGATAGTGCTGCTCTGAGTACCTACTTGGTGTCAGCATTGGGTTAGGTAAACCTTCCAGTTAGACTAGGACATGACCCCTGCTCTCACAAAGTGCATGGTGGAGCTGAGGTTAGCAATGTGGATTTGGCTAGGACTGATTATAAGTTGTCAGAGTACCATTTCCTCGAGATGTGGGAGACACAGGCCCAAGAGAGACAACTCCATTATTCTCTTGGGCCTGGGAAAGTTGTCATGTTGAGGTGGGCAGTGTCATTTAGAGTGACCTTCACCCTGCAAGCTAGGTTCACATTCCTGTATGCTGGTTTAAAACCTTTTCTGTGTTTATAGTTTGACTTGAGCAGGCTTGATCAGTTTGCAAGTTAGTAAAGAGTAGTGCTTCCAACCAGGTCTGCTTGTGCATGCCTGTAATGGCGGCACCTGGGAACTCAAGGTCAGCTTGGACTACATAGTAAGGGCCAAAACAAACAAACAAACCAAAACAAAACACTCCAAACCAGTGGTACTTTCAGTGAGCAAAAGTACAAAGTAAGCGGGCTCGCCTCATTAGAATTAATGGCCACTTAGTTTGTGTCTGGCTAAGGTTCATTCTTAGCTGACCCTGTAGCCTCTGGGCATTATGGCTTGTACCATTAGAAATAGGCCTAAGCCAGACATCCCTGCCTGTATCCCTACTCCTGAGGAAGGGCCTGGCAGTTCTCTGTTTTTTTTCTGGAAATAGTCCTCAGGCTCAGAAGGCTTTGGACTTTTTGCCTGAAGCATGTTCTCCATAGGTAACTCAGCCACTGAATAACAGGAGGCTGGCATGCAGGCAGCCCTAAGTAGGAGTGTAGCCTCTCAGGAAGGAGGAGGCTGTGTTGATGACAGGTTAGACGGCTTTGAGGATGCTTATGGGAAAACCTCTCTAGCTGTCTTGGTGTTTTCCAGGCTCTTGACTAGGCAGAGATATGACTTCTGTTGCAAATGGGAAGTTACTGGATCCAGAGACAGATGCTTCCTTAGTAGGAGCACAGGCTGACACACTCTTGTCTCTGCAGGCTCTGCCATCCTTCCAGATCCCTGTCTCTCCCCACATCTACACCAGCATCAGCTGGGCTGCTGCCCCTACCACCACCTCCCCCCTCTCTCCGGTGAGTGTGGACTACAGTACCCCCAAAGCTTTTGCATACATCCCCAGGGCTGGGGGTCTGTGTCATTGGTATATAGCACATGGCTGGTATTGCCTGTATCCGCCCCCCCCCCCATACTTCATTAACATCTCTGTGTGTCCTGTCTGGCTACAGCTCCCCTCAGCAGCTAGAAGGGCTCCTGGGGGGAGGGTGTGGGGGGAGTCAGGGTGAAGCAATTTTCTTCCTTAGGAATATGCTGGGCAAGGCTAGGCTCAGTTCAGTCCCTTGCTCTGTGAGTGCTTGTTAGAGTTCTAGTGCCTAGATGAAAGGATGGGAGAGAATGTGTGGGTGTCAGAAGGGAGAGCATGACAGATGGTCATAGGAGGGGCACCCACAGGCTGTGTGAGCTGGACCAGAAATCTCAGGCCATCATGGATTTGTACCCTTGACTCTGAACTGACATAAACTGGAAGTCATTAGAACCACATATAGGTGGCTCTAGTTTCAAGTGTCTGCCACAGAGAAGTGTCACACATGGCAGAACCTAGTCCACAGAAGGTGTCACTAAGGCAATACAATGCCTCCATTTGCCCCTTGGATGGTAATTCCATGTGAGTTCCTTAAAGCCTTAATGGTGGCTCCTGTCTTTGGCCCTGACTTGACCCCATCTATTGAGAATTTCCTTTTTGGGGTAAAATCTATGGTTCCCTGCTCTGGGGCTCAGAGAGGCATGCATGGCAGAGCCCGGGGAGTTGCCTTGTGGTTCTGAGTGGTCTCTTGCTCATAGCTGATCTTATAACCCTCATACCCAGGTCCGGAGCCGGTCACTCAGCTTCAGTGAGCCCCAGCAGCCACCACCCACAGTGAAGTCTCACCTGATCGTCACCTCCCCACCCAGGGCTCAGAGCAGCTCCAGGTGAGCCATCTCATCCTTAGCCTTGGGGTTTCTGCCCTCTGTCTGTCAGCACTGGTGATGTAGACTTTGATTCTACCCAGTTGCAGCCTCCAGGATTAGTCCCCAGGCGGAGGCCGCGGTGGTGGAGCTGCCGTCTCTTCCTTGTGGCTCTGGCTGTGGGTGCCACTGACTTCTGTGCCCCTCCCAGCTCCTGCTTGCTTGCCCGCTCATGCTTGGCTGTTGTCTGGGTCTAACTTCCATTACATGGTGCCACCCTCACTTCATTCCTTGTCAGGAAAGCCCGCGGAGAAGCCAAGAAGTGCCGCAAGGTGTACGGCATAGAGCACCGGGATCAGTGGTGCACAGCCTGCCGGTGGAAGAAGGCCTGCCAGCGCTTCCTGGACTGAGCCTGCCTCGCCCAGCCCCGCTCCTCACCCTGCCGGGCAGCCAGGAGGCCTCCAGGCCTGCAGCCATCAGCAGAACACGGAGAGATACGGAGTGGATGTGGGCAGCTGGGGCTCCATTGGCTAAGATTTAACACTTAAAAACACTTTCTCCCCCTTGTGGGAGTGTTTTATTTTTTAAAAAAAGGAAGATATTTTTCCCCCTAAAATAGGAGAGAGCCAAAATTGACCAAGGGTATAGTGCAGCGAACCAGAGACCAAAGAATTACCCCCTTCCCCCGCCCTTCCACCCTCTTGGGGACTAGTTTGTACGCATCAGAAGTAGGACAGGATGGATGCCTTGCCCATTTTTGTGCTGAGCTGGTGCATCCATTGATCTTTTAGCTATTCCAGAATGGACTGTGAGTAAAATGAATTTCCTTTTCTTAGGAAAAAAAAAAAAAGTGAGATCCTTCTGGCAGGTGGATGGCCTAGGGGGCAGAGGCAGGAGGCTGCACTTGGTAAGATGCAATATCATTTCTGTTGGAGCAGCTTCTGGGGCTGGAAGAGGGATACCCTTTTACCGCGGCAACTTTCGGGTCTGGGTTCCCTCAGATGTTGGGTTGCATGCCAGTAAACTTTATGTGGCTTCTTCTCAAAGCCTGTCCCCCCAAAATCCTGAGCCAAAAGGCTAATATGAATTTAGTTTGAGAATGTGGCCTTGAAACACTACCCTGAGCATCCTTTTAGCTCTGAGAGGAAGCGTGGAGGGTCTCCACAGAAACTTTGCTCCACTGAGTAAAGTCCTTTCTGAGGCCTCTTCCCTCCAGAGTGTCACAGGCTCTAGAATGTCTGGTTTTCTTGTCTGATGTGGAAGTCTTTGATGATGAAGCCTTCTTTCCCTAGGGGGAGCCTCTGGTAGGTCCTAGCAGACTTGACCTCTGTGCCTGCTAAACGTAACTTCTAGGACCCAGCTGTCTTGGACTGAAGTCCCAGGTGTCACAGGCTCAGGGAATACCACTAGGCCACCCCCTCCAGGGGCTGAGCAGCATTGACTCATTAGTTGTCATGGAGACCATCCTCTTGACCACTAAGGGTCCATTGGGGGGCATTACATGGGAAACAACATACCAAGTTCTATGAGAAAATCTGAGAACCTAAGAGATTGTATGTGTGAGGTAGAGGGTATTGTGGTAGCCTGGGCTGCTGATGGAGGGGAGAGACACTAGTGTCTTTGGTAGGGGTATAATTTTATAACGAGCCAGTCCAGCCAGAGGCAACCCTGGGCTCTCCTGCCCCTTCAACCTCCCAGGTAATTAAGAGCACAAGTTAATTTTCTCTCCTTACTTCCCATGATGCTCGGCTTCCAATCTTACTGGATTGGGAAGGGGAATATAGAGACACAGAGGGAGTTTCTGGACATGTAGAGACCCCACCAGGGAGCTCTCCTCTCCCCTTCTTAATCCCAGTGTGGACTAAGCCTGCACTTCAGCAGCGACAGTGTAGTCCCAGCCTTGGTTTGGAGCTTGCAGATGTAACTGACGATAATGATTTTCTCCGTTCGAAGCAGGCTTCCTATGGCATTGGCACCCCAGCCAGAACAGTGAGAGAGAAAAAAGGGGATTAATAGGATGGCTTAAAAGCTGAGGGAGTTTTAATTCTGTTCAGTTCTCTATTCCATGTCTGCGCAGCTTCCACATCTGTGTTTGTTCCCCCTTTTTTTCTAGCAGTGGTGGCCTCCCGACCACTGTCCTGCACCCCCTTCTGGCGGTGGTGGCCTCCCGACCACTGTTGTGCACACTCCCCCTACCCCCCATTCATCTTGATGCTTCTGTATTGGTTACTGACACATGGTCTGGTTTTGGGTTTGAAGGGCAAGGGTGGCTTGTGAGCACACCCAGCCGTCAGGCCTGCTCCTGTCATCTCTGTATCTCCCTGCCTCCCAGCCCCGTGGGTTTGGAATCTGACTGGGTGAAGGCGCCACAGGTGTGCTTTTGAAAACAGCAGGGTTTGGAATCTGACTGGGTGAAGGCGCCACAGGTGTGCTTTTGAAAACAGCAAGGCGTAGCTTGCAAACAATTATCTTGGGAAACTGTTTAGCCATGTATCCGTTATCCAGAACGCTGTCAGAGTTTCCTTCAGACTTGGTACCATGTTGGGAACACCGTCAAGTGAGTGTGTACCGTTCTCAATTCCGTGGTGCGAGTCCAGGAGTACTGTCTGAGGCCAGCCGAAGTCTCAGGTATAAAGCCGAAGGGCTCTCTGGTAACGTAGGCTTGCATCAATGATAAGGCTTTTAACCTGGCCCTGAAAGCAATGTTGCTACTTCTGACAGTGCTTTGAGCAATGGCTGCCTTGTCATAGTGACTGTATAGCTTGACACCTTAGAGGACCCTGTGAAATTAGATACGGAAACTGATTTGGTGGAAGAAATCTGTTATGTTACTTTCTGGTCACCCCAGGTTCTGATTTTACCAGGGGCAAAAAACCAAAACAAAACAAAAACAACAACAAAAAACCCCAAAACACAAAACTTTTTTTTTTTTTTTTTTTTTTTTTTTTTTTTAAGATTAAAGCAAAACAATAAGGGAGAAGAATCCCATCCGTGAATTTGTCTTATTGGCGCATCTCACCCTTCCCCACCCAGCCCCGCTGTCTTCCAAGTATTATTTTTACTGTTAAGATTTTTTTTAAATGTGAAATGAAATGTAATGTTTTTACAGCAATGATATGAAATATATTTTATAAGGAATAAAATGGTACATTGTCTGACTTAGTGTGTGCCTGTACTGAGTTCTTAACTGTCCCTACGATTAGTGCAAATGGTACCATGTGACCCTGTAGGCAAGGGGACTCATTTGCTCACACTTTCAGCTCAGAACACACGTGTGGTTCTAGGTTCAGTGTCCTGAAACAAATTCAAGGAGGTCGTATTGAGTGTTTATAGCAGTGGTTCTCAGCCTTCCTGATGCTGCAACTCTTTAATACAGTTTCTCATGTTGTGCTGACCCCAGCCATAAATTATATTCATTTGTTGCTACTTCATAACTGTAATTGTGCTGCTGTTATGAATTGTAATGTAAATATCTTGTGTGTGACCCCCAAAGGGGTCAGGACCCACAGGTTGAGAACAGCTGCTTTAACAGATAAGGGTAGTAAGACATGGAGTTCGAATATCTTGCCAACGGTACATACTGGGGTAGGGTGGGGTGATAATATTGGCATTGTAATCTGGGCTGTGAGTGTTTTCTATGGCTTACATTCATTTTCATAGGAGGACATATTTTGGGCATGTTTCTGTGCTTGATGGGGAATGGCTGGAAATTTAGGAGAAAATAAATCACATTCTATATATTCATCAGCTTTTCATAGCTATAATAAAATACCTGAGGCAGGCTAACTTTAAAAGACAGAAGCTCAGAGGCTGAAAGACTGGCTCTTGCAAGGGACTTCCTGAACACATCACCTCCCAAGCAGGTGGCAATTTTGGGAACTCATACCAAGGGTGGAGGCACAGTGTGAAAATAGGAAGCCAGAGAGGCTGGGGTCCCCTAGGTCCCTTCCTCAGGCACCACCTCCCTCTGCCACCCTAAACATCATTTGCCTCTGGCACATGAAGGTTGGGGACCTCCCGAGACATGCTCAGTATAGTCTGCTCCTGAGACATTGGCTTTCACAGGTTGTGGACAGATGCTAGTTAAGTTGGCCTCTCTGGTCAGGGTCCTAAAAGCAGAAAGCACTCCCCCCCCCCCCCACACACACATTGGCTTATTCAACTTTAATCATCCCAAGAGCCTATGAAACCAGGCTGCAGGAAGTGGTGGTGGGGTGTGTTTGTGTTTAAATGTTCAAAGGACGTTTGGAGTACAAAGGGAGTTGTGTTTCCCTTGTAAGAAATATCTGCACTCCCCCAGCATGGTCTCCTCTTGCCTCATAAGTGCTGAGATTACAGCGTGCACCACTTTAGGGGATGGATGGAGTGCAGGAAGGAGGAAGGAGACCTGGGATCTTTTTTTTTTTCCTTAAGCATCCTGTTTAGGAAAGTCAGGAGCTGGAGTGAGCGGCTGCTGAGAGAGAGAGAGAAGAGAGCCAGAGGAGTGGAGAGCTGCTTCTGAGCCTAGAGTCCTCCAGGGCTGGGTTCTAAGGCTTCCTGACATTGCTGGACAGTGAAGTCCCCTTCATCTTGTACTTTTTGACCCCAAGAAGTGTGTGTTAGTTTTCAGGCATCTGTACTGGCCTGCCCTTGGGGTTCTGACAGGATACACCCTCAGCTGTAGCCAGTAAGGGCACCACCTGTGCACATTCACTATGTTCCCTTTTAAAAGAGCCCTGCTCACCTCTTTTTCTGCCTTTCTGCCTGCCTGCCTGTCCCTCCTTCCCTCCCTCCCTTCCCCTCTCTGCCTCTCTCTTCTCTGCCTCCCCTGTCCACAGAGGCCTGTCTCATCTCTCCCCCCTTTTCCCATTCATTATCCCCCAATAAAAAAACCCTCCACCCAAGCTGTGTAGCATAGCATCTTTCTCTCGAGTGCTGCTTTTTAAAATGACAACAGTGTAAACACAGTAAATTAACCATTGCTCATAATTTACCCATTCTATGGTACAATTGTCCACTGCATCAGCAGACTCAACCAACTGCAGACTGAGAATCTTAAAAACAAATTGCATCTGTCCTAACCAAATACAGACCTTTCTCATTATTCCATAAGGAGCACAGTAAAACAAATATGTTCATGCTGTTTATGTTGTATTAGATAGCATAGATAGAGGTAATTTTGGTACCCAGAAGCTTGTGCAATGGATGATTTTGCTGCTCACAGGGGGTCCCAGAACTAGTCCCTCCAGGTTATAGAAAAGCAGTTATGGCCTGTGATTTCAGCAGGAGTGAATGGACCTCGAGAGCCATCTACCATGTAGACACTGAACTGGTCAGTTAGTCCAGTTGGGTTCTCTATGTGTTTCCTGGTTGGACTTTTGACAGTCATATACCTTACCACGTTTAGTGTTGCATAGAGAAAAAATAGGTGGACAGCTTTTCCACTCTCTTGCTTCTGTCACAACCCACTGGCACCAACCAGTAGGCTTTTTGTATCACATGGTAGCGGCTAAAAACATGTTTCTGCCGGGTCTAGAGCTGGGAGTGGGACCCAGGAGCAGCTGGATGAACTGTCTCCCCTTCCATCCCCTTCCATCCCCTGCGCACACATTCACACAGCCATTTGCATCTGGCTTCATAGTACTCTTGCCTGTTGCCCTCAGTGTGGTCATGTCCCAGCATCTCCTTGTGCCAAATTTGTAGTCCACATAGCTGTCTGGGTTCCCAGCCTGTGCTTCTGAGAGAGGCGGCGCTCACAGTGTGTGTTTGCAGAGTCCTTGCTTCATTATGCCACTTAAAAACAGCCAACGAGGTTATTAACCATTTGCTCAGTAGAAGTTTAATGGAGAGAGTTGTTTCAAACGATCGGTCAAAAAGAACGGGTCCTTTACAAACAGGTTATGGCAGTGATGAGGCAAAACCCCAGGTCTGATTTCATATTCCTCTCACCTGGCCCCAGAAGAGGGCAGAAGATGAGGGAGAAGATGGGGCCATTAAAATGTTAGCTGGAGAAATTACAAAAATACACTCTGATGTAGCAACAGGGTTGTGGTGAAACATGCCATGAGGAGAGGGCAACAACTGGGCAGGGAGGGGCTGTGGGCACTCAGTGCCTCAGGGAAGAAGGAATCCTGACTCCTGGCCTGCAGTTCTGGGTGTGGACACATGCTGTTCGGGGGATCACCTGGATGCCTGGGAAGACAGAAAGGGTTAAAACGTCAACTCCAACAGGGTGGCTGAGCCATCCGTTCTATTTTCCCAAGTGACTTAAGACTCAAGTAACCCAAAGTGGGGCCACCACAGCAAGTGAAAGGAAGAACTTCCCAAGTGACCAGAAGGGGTCCTTACTTGATGCCCTCCACTTACCTGCAGCTCATGCCTACTACTGGCAGGAGGGATGCATTGGCTAAAAGGGAGGTTGATGAGCTGTGACTGAAAAGGCCCAGTGACAAGCCTTTTCCCAGTCCCACTCATCCCCTCCCCAGTTCTCAGCATCTATGTGAAAACTGCCCTTAAAGTTCTCTCTAAGCTAGATGTCGAGAATACGGGATCGTGAGTGTGCTGCTGATGTCTAGAAGGCCAGGGCTGGGCACAGCAGAAAGTATCGGAAGGATAGGTCAGAGCAGGAGAGGCTGTCCCCAAGTCCTGCTGTGCCCTTCTCACAGACCCTCCAGGGCAGGGTCTGCACTCAGGTCCTTCATTCCGCTTCAGTGTTGGATGGCCCCCTCTCCCAACTCCAGTCTTCTGAGTATAGATTGGCATTGGCATCTCAGATGCCAGCAACAACTAAGGCAGGGAACTGGCCAGAGTGGAAGGACTTCTATCACACACATGGCAAATTGGGCTGTGTGAATGCAGATAAACATTAGGTCTCAGCTGGCTACAACTGGCTCATTAACACACACATACACATCCACTCTGGAACTCATCACCATGCATGTGCGAGAGAGAGAGAGAGAGAGAGAGAGAGAGAGAGAGAGAGAGAGAGAGAGAGAGAGAGAGAGAGAGAGAGCACACTGGTTACACAGTGACAAGCAGCCATAAATAATACCCAAATGAACTAGCTAATGTTGCCATCAAGAACTTTTCATGTTGAGTGAAGCAGTAGACAGAAACCAGTTATTAGCCCTGTTACAGCACCTCTCAGCTGGAAGTATAATAGAAAAGCAGAAAAGCAATTGTCTGGCTCAAATAGTTTTTTCTTTTTAAATAAATTGATTCTTGCTAATGGGACTGATCTTAAACTGTCTTTAGGTAAAGAATATTGTTGTGGTTTAGAATTAGATATGGGCTTTGGTGTCCCTTAAGAGCGTCTGTAAAGAATGTCATTAAGACTTAGAAAAATTTGTGCTACTTCTGGAAGATTTACTACTAATATCAGACAGGTCTGGCTTAGAAATAGAATGCTTGTCAAGAATGGAGTGCAAGTTTACTCAGGCTCTTTGGAGATGAACCATTCTGTTGAGACAAATGCAGCAGTCTTCTCCCTACAACCTAATAAATGTGTCCATCTTTGGGGATAAACTTGCTGAAACAAGTGGGCAACTAGTTTGGGGCACCAAAGGTTAGCATATGATGCATCTATCTGGAAAGAAGACTGAGCAACATGGCTACCTTGGATGTGTGCGAAGCAAAAAGACAGGATGCCTGCATTTTTCTTTTCTGCGTCAGAGATGGGAAATAGCTCTGTTGGGACAGCATTATATGGTCAAACTAACTCATGCTTTGTATGAAGCCGTGTTTCTGAGCTGTCTCGGGACGTGTGTGGGACTCTGCTCATGTTCACATTGGCATCTGTGGATGAAGACTTGATGGTTGGGTTCTTTCTTAAATCCACTGTGCTGATTCCTAATGCCATTCCCTAGTTCCGCACTGGTGATGGCTGCGAGAGAGTTGGATTTGGAATCAGCTGGCAATAACTGGATCTTTGCTGTGTGTTTTCTGAGGCTTTAGGACTATGTATGTGTGTACCCGAGGGCGGGGATGAAGCAAAGGAAGAGGACACAAGTGGCAATCTGGGAAGAGGAAACAAAACAAAAAGCCTGAAGGGGGGGGAAGCTAACTCTCCATTAGTTCATGTTCTGAAGCCTACTAGCTCCATTGGCTCAAATTCTGGACTGGAGCCCTGGTTCAGCAAGGACACCAGAAATGGAAAAGAACTGGTTTTTCTTTGGCAAAACACAAGGATGACCAAGTTGCAATAAAATGAGAGCAAAAAGCCTAACTCAGGGTCCCAACAGAAAGTCTTTGGCATGGGGAAATGGGAGACATTGATGGTTTCCATGGAGTTTAGCCACCTTGAAATGTAGGGTGAGATGAATAAGCTGTCTTTGAAGTAGAGCAGTAATCAGCCTTTTTGCAAATGGCTAAAAGGAGAGCTGGCTATTGGTTTTTTTTTTTTTTTTTTTTTTGTTCAGATAAAGTCTCTGAGGAAAGGTGAGCTGAATGGTTGCCATGGTAACTGACTGTTAGAATTGGTCCACTTAACTGTCCCCATAGTAACTAAGCTTCTGGAAAGCTATAGAGGAATTAGTTATCTTAACATACTACTATTATCCCCATGGTAACCAGTCTCTGAATGGGAGTGGTCAGCCTCAAGGAGAATGGTGGGAAAATCCTTCTCCTTAGAGAAATGGGTTGGAGGCAGAGATGTGAATTTCATTATGAGCCAAGCCTCCCAAGACCTGGAGTCCTTTCGATGTGTGTGGGGGAAAGGGAGAGGGACTGGATGGTGTGTGTGTGTGTGTGTGTGTGTGTGTGTGTGTGTGTGTGTGTGTGTGTGTTTGGGACTGGCTAATATGCTTTTAGGCCTGGGACAGCTGGATATATGAGGTCACTTCTTGCCCCCTGCTAGTTGGTGCCCAACTCACTCATGGGTTGCAGTGGCCGGTGCAGCTGGGAGGGGCTCCTTCTGGCTACACATTACCATTCTGGTGTAGAGTGCGCCGGCGCTGGCTTGATTGCATGCTCAGGACCAGATACTGCCTCATAAACTCACTGAACCGCTTCTGGTTGGCCAACTTCCTGGCTGACTTCCGGGCCCCAGTAAAGCCCCCAAACCTCTTCTGCAGCTGCTTCTGTTCCACCCCATCAGCATCTGCATCAGCCTCTGTATCGCGAGTTTGCACCAAGCTCCTGACCCGGGGCATTCGCTTCAGATGCTGCATCTCCGAGGCAGCAGGGTTGAGCTGCCCAGAGCCATTGGCCATGACTTTGGTGCATGCAGTCCAGAGAGGACGGGGCAAGACCTTTTCTTCACACTGGAAGATGCACACCTGCAAAGACACAGGCAGGAGGGAGAAATGAGAGACAAAGCTAGGGATGAGCTAAGATAGGGAATCATCTATGTCCCAAGTCACGTGCTTCTGAACAGCTATTTCTCAAGCACTGTGTAGCAGTTTATGTATGTATGTATGGGTGTGCACATCTGTATGCACGCATGTGTGGAGGTCAGAGGTCAACAGTGGTCATCTTCCTCTATCACTCTCCATTTAATTTTGAATATCATTTTCTTTTATTATAATAATAAAATAATGCTATTATTGTGTGTGAGTGTGGAGGTCAGAGAACACTAATGTGGAGTTGTCTTCTACCTTTATGTGGCTTCCAAGAATCAAATTCATGTCACTGGGTTTGAGTAGAAGTACCTTTACCCACTGAGTGATCTCACTGACCCCTCCACTTTATTTTTTGAGGCAGGATCTCTTACTGACCTGGATGACCTGAGCCAGTTGGGCTATACTGGCTGGTCAGCAAGCCCCAAGGGTCCTCCCATCTCTGCTTGCCTAGTGCTGGGATCACAGGTGTGTGCTTCCATGCTTGGCGTCTACATGGGTGCTGGAAATCAAACACAGATCCTCATGCCTGTGTAGCAAGCACTTTACTGATGTCTTAGTTCAAGTTCCTAATGCTGTGGTGAAACACCATGACCAAAGCAACTTGGAGAGGAAAGGGCTTATTTGGCTTACATCATAGTCAATCACTGAAGGGAGCCAGGACAGGAACTCAAACTGGCCAGGAACTTGGAGACAGGAGCTGATGCAGAGGCCATGGAGAGGAGCTGCTTACTGGCTTGCTTCTCATGGCTTGCTCAGCCTGCTTTCTTATAGAACCCAGGACCATCATTCCAGGGGTAGCAACACCCATAATTGGATGAACCCTCCCACAGTCACTAATTAAGGAAATGCCCTACAGGCTTGCCTACAGCCTGATCTGATGGAAGAATTTTCTTAATTTAGGTTCTCTCCTCTCAGAAGACTTGAGCTTGTGCCAAGTTGACAAAACCATCCAGGACAACTGATGAACCAACTCCCTAACCTTTGTGTAGCAGTTTTACATATAGTTACCCCCCTCTCCACCAAATTTGTGGAGTTTCAGAGTTGGAAACAGAGAACCTTTTGACTCTGCTTCATTATTTTACCAACAAAGAAGCTAGGATTCAGAACTGTGGTTCATTTATCTTCAGGTGACCCAGCAAGTTAGGCTTTTAGAGCCTTGCATAGCTCATGAGTGTCACTCAGGTAGAAGAATTCTATTTCTTCCTTTGGGCCAAGGAAGGACAGACTGGTTGCAGAAATAGGGGAAGCATGCATGGGATTGTATCTGAGGTATTTCAAGGTCATTCTTTAGCTGGGGACATAGCTTGGTTGGTAAACTGCCTGCTTGCAAGCATGAGGACCTGAGTTCAGATCCTCAGCACTCATGTAAAAGCTGGGCATGGTGGTACTTGTTTATAATTCTAGTGGGAGGGGTGAGAGGGTGGAGCTCCATAGTTAGTCATCCTAATCAGCTGGTGAGCTCTGGATGCACTGAAAGAGACTGTCCCAAGAAACAAGGTGGAGAAGGATAGGGGAAGACACACATGTGCACAAACATTCATGTATACTACACACATGTATCCATGAACAAAAAGCACAGGGATGAATGGCAGTACTGATAAGGCCAGGAGAGGGGTGGGGCTAGGAGCAGCTCAGCCTTTGGGTGCCCTTGGTTCCTTCAACAGAGAAGGAGCCCTCAACGTTTGCTGTATTCTGCTCCTTTGGTTTACAGGTGGAAGAGACACGTCTAGAGGCCACCAGAACTGAGCACTCCTGGCCTTCTGATTCCAGATGGTAATTGGATTTTGTGTCAGTGAGAGAAAAGGAAATTTTGTGACCAGATGCCGCAGTCTTAACTGAGATTCAACACACTGCCGGATAAATTAGATACTGGCCAGATTATTACAATGGCTGGTTTAGAAGGTTTCAGGGAAATCTAGGGTATCTAAATGTACAGCTGCATTTTTAGTGGCAGATGGGCATATGAGCCTAGTGTTTAAGACTCTGGTCCGGGGTCCTTATCAGTCCCTTCGCAGGTGTGGGCTAAGGTCTTATTAAGTGAGTTGGACACATTTTTCTCAGCTGTGATGATGACATTGCTATATTAAGCCAGAGTCTGCATGAGCATCTGGAGTCCTAGAGTGGTGCCTAATTGATTTGCAAAGCTGGGCCTCTGAAGAGACTGAGCAAAGGGCCATTTGGATGTCTGGATCAAAAATTAGGGTACAGGCTGAGTGTGTAACCCAGCCGCAGAGGTCAGTCCTGCATTCTAGGCCTCCCCTTGCACATCAAACAGACACACTGGCTCTTTGAGGAGAATGAAGACAGTCACTGCATGGTTTGGTTCCTGTTTCAGGCTGAGTGAGGTATAGGAGCTATTTGTTCCAGGCGGTCTTGGCAAAACATTCAAAGGTATGGATAGTGATGTAACTCAGCCATAACACATCTGCCTGGTCATTCACAGAGCCCTAGGTTCAATCCTAACCACTGAAGACTTTATAAAAATAAATCCAGAGGCTGGATAGATGGTTCAGTGGTGAAGAGCACTGTTCTCATAGAGGACCAACTTCAGTTCCTAGCACTTATGGGTGGCTCACAGCCATCTGTAACTCCAGCTGCAGGGGATCTAACACCCTCTTTTGGCCTCTATGGGCAACTGCACTCATGTGTACATACCCTCCCCACAATATATATGCATATATAATATTGAATATGTATGTACATACGTATGTTCAAAGGCAGACCCTATCCATAAATAGCACGGGAAAAATCCATTAGAAGTGCTTCTGCTGCAAATCACCTCCAAAGAATGTTCCCTACCTGCAGGAAGAGATGCCAGGAGGCAGCTTCTGTTGCAATAGGACTTTTACATACATTTCCCTGAACTGTTTTTTGAGAGTGTGTTTGTCTTCATTTTGGACTCTAAAATAGCCCTGTGAATTTAGTTTCTTTTAGTTGAACTGACAGAATAAGCATCACTGACAGTTAGTTGAAGGACCAGAGGACACTGCAATGGATGAGTCATTTGCTGACCAAAATTATAGTCTATCAAAAAGCCAACCATACTTGGGCCACCTACCAGGAGTAGAAATAGAAAAATTTCTGATGCAGCCAAGTGTCCTGAGGATCCTGGGAACAAGTCAGGATTATGTAATCTGGCAGGGAGACTGGTTGGTGACCCTCGCTGAAATGTGAATTCCTCCATTACTGCCCTCATCAGAGCAAGCATGGGCAAGATTTGCAGCCTCAGAAAATAAGACATAATTGCTTATGTCCTTGGCATTTTGTTCTACTTAAAATGGGTTAAAAGGGAATAGGAACTAGAAACAGAAAAACAAGCAAGCAACAGGGTCCTGGGGAGGAGGGTGGGGCAGCAGGCTCTGCAAAGCACCTATCTCCAGCCATGAGGCTTTTGCCAATCCATTTTCTGACTTGTTTCTCAGAGGTAAAGTCGGTATTGTCTGGCCCCCAAAGATCTGAGATGCTAATGGAGAGATAGAAGAGCTTCCAATCCTTCACCCCAGAAAGACCCAAGTGTAAGTCCTTACAGTGGCTGTCCAGGATGTGACCAGCAAGGAGCCTCATGTTCTGAGAATCACAGTTTCCATGAGGCAGGCTGCCTGAACCCTGTTATGGCCCACATACTGGGCCCCATGCAGAGATACCCAGATAGGTCAGTAAAGGAACTCATACCATAGCGGGGGGGGGGGGGGGGGGAGAGGACAGAGGAGAAAGAGGAGAGAGAGATGCACACAGAGAAAGGATTGTGTGTGTGTGTGTGTGTGTGTGTGTGTGTGTGTGTGTGTGTGTATGAGAGGAGAGAGAGGAAAGAAGGGGAGGGGGAGAGAAACAGGAGAGAGAGAGAGCAAGAGAGAGAGAGGGGGAGATGCAAAAAGACAGAGAGGAGAGAGACAGAGACAGGAGAGGGAAAGAGAAACAGAGGAGAGAGGAGGAAGAGGAGAGAAAGCAGAGAGAGAGAAGGGGAGGGGAGAGAAAGGAGAGGAGAGAGATGGGGAGGGAGAAAGAGAGAGAGAGAGGAGAGACAGAGAGAGCAGAGAGGTGGAAAGCAGGAAGAGCAAGCTAGCCATGGCACCAAGAGCCGGAATAAGCACAACCCGTGAGCATCACCAAGAAAGAATGTATTTCATTCCCTCATAAAGTTCAAGGCCAGATTGGTTAAAGGAACTCCGGGTCTGAGAGTACGTGGCTAAATGTGCATGCATATTTGAAATAAAGGTCACTGGAGAGAATAAACCTGGTGGTGTTCATTTTCAGCCTACATATACTGGCCATCCACAACTCCCTGCGATCTATAGCAATGGGCTGGGATATAGGCAGGTTGAGCATGTGGGGCTAATTTTGCATTCTACCCCATGGGGGCTCATTCTCATACCCAAGCCAACCCCAGAGCACCAGGAACTCTGCTGCTGCTGTTTCCCCAAGCACCACAGTGTCTGGTGGAGACCATCACTCTGACCATGCCATTTCTCCAGCTCTTTCTGGCTGGTCCTGATCTTGGTCTTACCCTCCAGAACTTCCCGTCTTGGTTTGGGTCTCCTAGAGGTCTCTATTTCCCTCTCCTGTATGCTCCTTAGCTTTACCTCCACTTGGACCTCACCTTTGCCTTTGTGAGTGACCGCGGGTTTATTATGATGTGAATCTTAACTTTGGCCTTGAAGTGTAAGTGGGATTTAGTGGGTAGGGGAAGGGAGAGACAGGTGCAAGGTGGCAGGACAGCAAAGAAAGGCAGGGCTCCCTGGCAGCTGTAAAGAATGCCCTGGACCTGGGCCTGAGCCCAAGAGAGAAGGTCAGAGGTTCCCTTTGACAGTTACCTGCTGCGTAGGAGAGAAAAGCCAGGGTATGTGGTGGCATCTCCAGAGAGGGACAGAGGG